TTTTCCCGAGAAACGTTATTATCGCTGAATCGTGACAGTTTCGTAGTTGCTTCCTTTTCCTTCCTTTTCCTTCCTTTTGCTCCAGGCCGCTCCTGCTCGCAGCTAACTTTTCACCTACCCACTTTCTATCATCCTATCCAATGCCTCAGAACTTTGAAGCTCATGGAAGTCAGAGGGATAGATTAAAGGAAGACAAAATAAGTTAGGCCAAGGATATAAAGTAAGTAGGTAGATGTAAGAGAGTAACTAAATAAGGAAGGAGGGAGGGACTTGGAAAACGTGATAACTTTAACTAAGAGATTTCTCAATTCCTAGGAGCACATACCCTCAAGTGCAAGATACACGTACAGTCTCTCATTTTATCAAACCCTTAAAACTTGGAGAGACCCGCGTGCCAGCAGCTTACGAAGTATTCGATCGCTTGAGGGACGACGCCTCTAGAGGTAGGAGTCTAGGGAAACAGGAAAGCTCTTTTTCGTGCATCCTTCGCTAACGGCACTGAACTATACGAATATAAGTAAATATGTGGGTCGGGCTGAAGGACAAACCTATTGCAAGAATTAAGTCACGAAAAGGAGAAAGAGAGAATGGGACGTGTCACAAAGTATTCGTAGTCTGGCGACTCTTGAACTTTCTGAAGGGGCGCCCCTGGCGCCCCTGGCGCCCCTAGCACCACTAGCACCGCTCTGGTGGACGCTGACTCCGTCGGGCATGGGAGTCCCAAACTCCCAAGGGCCCACTCTTGGCTAATTGCATCGCAGCGGGATAAGAGGCCCGAGACACCAGCACCGGTGCTAATTGACACCGCGGGCCGTCGCGACGCTTCGCGCCCCGACACCGACCCACCAGCTGGAGTCCACATCGAGATCAGCGAGGACGCTTGGGACGTTCGCAAAGGACGCCCCTCCTGACGTCGACGCGTCGGCGCCGAATTCGGAGTCTCGCGATGCGACGTATACGGGAAATCCAATCTCATGTCATCTTCTCTCCTCCGAATTCTTCCTCCCCCTCCTTCTGCCCACATCTCTGTACCAGAGAAAATCAAGAGACTCGACTCTGCTCAAAGTTTAAGGATTCGCCGGGCAGTCGTGCTGGAAACTGACGACCCCGAGCGTCGTCCGCAGCTTCCGCAATGGCCACTGTATAATTCCTCCTCGGAACTTTTTGGCTTTATTCTCTCTGAGCTTTTTTTTCCGTCGCTTCCTCCCACAGCCTTAAGTGACGACTGGATTATGAGTGTCAGATTTTCTTCAGTCAGAAATTCTTGAAAATTATTACGACACTGGCCAAAAATGAGGAAAAAAGTTCCTCTGGCTGGCTGCGTTCGGGAGACTCGAGGAGAATTGAAAGGACCACGTTGAACACCCAAGTCCCCATTTTCGTCCTACGTTTTATGTTTCATGCTTGTCATCGATCACTCTTGCTTTTTTTTCCTCTCTCTCTCTCTCTCTCTCTCTCTCTCTAGCTCCAGCGTCGAATAAATTGGACTCTACTCTCTTTTCCTTTACGGGTCCCTCGTCCTACTATAGTTAGAGCAGCTACTGTACCTCTGTTACTCGAGCATCCTCACCAGAGGAAACCAAAAGGAAATCCTCGAGGAACTTTTCAAACCTACGTTGACAATCGCAGAGTCCTGTCGGACCAGTTTGCGCGGTTCGCGTATTTGCAGGAATAGCCGTGAGGTGCACGAGAGGACGAGAGAAGCGAAAGATAAAAAGAGAAAAGGAAAAAGGTGAAGGGGGCTTAAAAAAGGTAAAAAGGGGTGGGGGGTGGGGGGGACATATCCGCTTCGCTCCCGTTTGCCGTTTTGCAGTTGTTTCCTGGGAAGCGTTTCTCGTGCGAAGTAGTAGCTACCACCAGGAGGAAACAGCAAAAAAATCCACATTTATCTTTCATTTCCCGGGACAAGTTGCGGTAGATGGTAGCGATACCGTGAAAGGGCTTTCGCCAGCAATTTCCCCGAATACTCGCTAGCGGAATATAGATGCTCGAAGTTCAGCGCGAGCTGTACGTGGCAGGTGATTGCACGATAATCTCCCACGACACGTCAGACGAAATACACGGGATTTGACGGAATAGAATTTATCAAAGGGTTTCCGGGTTATCGGTACACAGAGCCACAGAGGATTCTTAATTGAAACGAAGTGCTTCACTCCTCTCGCGGGAGTCCGGACTCCCGAGGTTGGTCACGGAACGTCATGGAAATCCAATCCACGAGCCACGGGAAGGATAATAATCCGTGGCATCAGACAATCGAGTCCAGAGTACACGAGCTTCGCGATTCGAGTAGTTAATTCGAGGGAGCGACGCTCACGTGGAAACTGGAATGTGTGTGAGAGAGAGAGAGAGAGTAAAGGATCGATAGATCCACTCGTATACGAATCCCGGCACTCGATCAACACTGGATAATTTAACGGCAGCGACGGCAACCAACCTGTCCTGTCATTTCACGCTAGTGCGACTTCGAATTCAATGCACTCTCGAGTGCACTCGATTCGAGCGAGCGGCAGATTCTCCATAAGGACGAGCTAAACGATTGCGGCAATTAGAAAATCCGTTTCTCTATTTCAATACTTTTATCAGCAGCCCTCCTTCGATCTACCGCCTCTCGATCTCCTCTCTCCCTCCCTCTCAGCTCTGCTCAACTGCAAACAGGGAGAAATTCGACGCTTCAAGTCCGCACCAAGTCAAGTCCGCACCGACAAATTTAAACTTCACTTCCGACATCTTGATTCGTAGCAAAGGATGATCGATGCCGTGAGTGATTGATGATCTATGGATGATCCAGACTACGAACGGACGGCCCCTGAACGTATATGATCAAAGTGACAAAAGTTGGGGGTGCCAGGGGGAGTGCGTGAATGACACGAGGTTCCAAGGATATCAAAAGTTTCCCTCTGCGTTCTCCAAGGAATCCTGGCTCGCCTCGTCCTACGCGGATTTTCTGATTCTGCCAGCCGGGATACTCTTGACTTCCGCTCTTGGAAGCCTTCGCTACCACACACGCTTGTAGAAACCCGACTTGTACAGTCGGCAGCTCAACGCGGCGGAATACTCCTGCGCGCAGCCTGATGTATTATTCAACGAACAAAACCGCGAAACTTTAATAAAAGAGGGGAAAAGCTCCGGGAGTCTTGGTTCTTGCCGATAGAAACGTAAGAAGGCACAGCTGCCCATTTACGTGTCCTACCAGACATTTAACCGTGTCCACACGCACCGGCACGACAATGAAAAAAATATTTAAAAAATAAAGAAATAAAGTTAAAAGATTCCCTCCCATTGAGATTCATCTCAGGCCCTTCGTCGTTTCCTTATTTAGTCACCTGTAAAATACTCCAGAGGGAAACTCGAAGACTGGAGGAATCACATTGATTCCCGAATGGGACGTCTGCACGCGGGACGCAACCCAGCTGTCCTTTTCGCACGGACACGTGACGTATCGCCCCCCACGTAATTCGGCATGACGTCACGCAATATAACCCAACCAGGCTAACTCGCACTTTGGCTTTATTTTACTTAACCGATTTTATAAGCGAAAGCTGACTCCTGTAGAAGACTCGGGCAGAACCACGTTAAACAAATGATCCCTTGTAAGTTCAGGGAGCTCCGGGCAAAAGAGCAAAAGACTCCCCAGGTGCGGGTGATAAAAGGGCGCTTTCTGCGCACAGCTGAATTCTTATAGTTTGCTGTTAAAGAAGC